ACATCATAAATGCTTCATAAAATATCATCCAATGACATCTCACTGATCTACGCAAGTTTGAGAGAATGTCTACAGGAGAAAGAGCCAAGTAAAGCATTTCCAAGAAGATGCAGTAACTCCTGAAATAATGAAATAAATAGAGCGTAACTCTATAAATACAATTTCCTCTCTCAAAGAGAAGAACCAAATGGCTTGAGTGTGGCCTCAAAGAGGATCTGCTTTAAACAAATCATAATATTGTCAGAGTAATCACTTTAACAATATTGGACTACAATTATACACAGACATTTTAAACAGTTTGCAATATTTAGTCTTCGGAAGAGCTAAACATTCATTTCTTTGTGTCTTATTTCTCTAACTGCTCTGCTTTTAAAGAACAGAAGGAATATGAAGTCCAATTAAGAATCTGTATGGAGTTATTATTAACCAGTGACAATGAAATCACTGGGAGTTTATGGTATCATATATCAGTTCTCTGCCATTTAACCATATGCCCAAGAGTATTTGTTCCATGAGGGAAGAAACCATAAATGCCATCCAAAAATATGTATGAAGTGAAAAAAATGTATGAAGTCCATAACGCAAAGATCAATAATATGAAGTTGTTGGAAATGCTTCAGGTATCTGCAAACCACCTGAAAATGTATATACATTATTGCATGTTTGTGTGTGCATGTACCAATGTGAATTTTTCTGGAGAGAAGACCTACAGGTTACATAACATTCTCATCTGTATGGGTTACATTTTTTAAAAAAATTATGGGTTCCTCCTGTGGAGCTACAGTACCCTCATCTGCACATGTTGTCCCTTGCCTGAATGAACACGAACCCCTCACATACTTTGTTAATTAAAAAGTGCCTGAGTGCTCACTCTTACACAAGTAGAACCCTTCTATGACCTATCTGGAACAGGAATTAGTGTAAAAGTAAGGGCTGTGTACTATAGTCACATAATCTGTCTTCTAAGAAGTATACACAAGAACTGTCCTGCCTGGAAGTTTGGAAATCATGCTGCATTGGGGCAAAATACACTTGCCAGAAAACGAAACAAATCTCTTCAATTGGGAAAGAAAGAAATAGATGATCACTTAAATAGTACTTTTATCTCTGCATCATTCTAAGACACTAGAAAGTGACTCAACTTACATATGAGAGTCTAGGTGGTATAAATAAACATCAAAAATTCAAGAGATTCATAAAACTAAAAGACAGGATGGATGAGAAATGAGCATTTAGATTCAAGTTGTCCAAATAGCCCTGAAAAACAACAGCAATGTCAATAATGAAAATAACACCAATGACAGATCTAATTTAAGAGTAACCCTTTCATACACACAGAACACTTTTCACACAGAAGTGTGAAGCTTCCACATGACTGCTAGATTAAAGACTGAGGCACTCAGGATCAGCAAAGCTCACATTTGGTCTATACCACACAATTACGGAATAGGAAACTTGACTCATATCTGCACATCTCCCACTTCTGAACACTGTGTCCTTTAATATTTTACTTCAGATGGCGGAATAAATGCTATAACTTTTTCTTTCCTAATTTCTGGTTACACTGATAATTGTTCATTGAAGTCTGGAAAAATCAAGGTGCTTAAAAAAAAAGTCATTATTATCCCTGCTGCTGTGGAATTCATGTGCTGATGGATGGTGTAAACTACTGTGTAGAAAACATCAAGAGAAATACCACAGTAAGAAATTTCATCTTGGGGTCCTTTGAAGCTATTTTTAAAAAGTAAAATGTTATGTTAAGAGCTATGTGGTATAGCTGTGTGCGTATAATTATTATTCCATTGATTTACTGTGCACATGTCAAAGAGTGGGTATGTGTGTGAGTTTAAACGAACTCCGAGCCAAGCCACATCTCCGGAAACCCAGACAACTTGCCCGCCCTCTCTCACTCCACCCTTCATCCTACCCCCTCCCAAGCAAAATTCTCCAGTAGCAAGAACCTTACTTACAGAGATGACATCTGTCATTTATACTATATTTTAAGAGAGTAGCCAAAGCCAGTTGATGGCAGAAATCTCACAGAAAAACTAGCAAGTCTTCCTGTTCTACAGAGAACCCTTTTCTGATTTTATGAGAGCTTTCAGAAATAAGCCAGAAAAGCAAGGAGCTATCACATGTATCCTCTTCTGATGGTGAGCACCATGTCTTGCACAAGAATTTCAGTTCAGATATCTTGTTGGGACACAGCAAATCTCATACACTCAATACTCACCCAGTAATCCACCACAGGTTAGGTAAGGAAACTCTTATTTAAAGTGAGAAAATTACTTTAAATTACTGTGTTCTAATCTGCTGCCAAAATCCTCTGATGATTATCCGATCATTAGAGCTAATTTTGACCTAAGTTCTTTCTCAAAGAGACTGACATCATTAGGTTAATTTTCTGTTCTATTTCTGTATACAAAGAGATCTTAATAGAAGAAAAAAAGTCAAAAGTAAATTCCTCGGATGTTTGCTGCTGATAAAATCATTCTTCTCACACTCCCTACTTCAAAGCAGAAAACCTAGAAAATCATCTCATTTTCTCTGCACATGGAGAGTAATTTTTTTCTACTTCAAAGCATCCTCTCTTCATTGGGTCATTTTAATTATTGAACATGGGCCAGAAGCTATCTAGATAATGTCACCACTGTCTTTTTCATGAAATATATTTAGGTCTAAATTGAAGTACATTAATTTGAGAAATGTAAAATATAGGGAGGGAAATAAGAAAAGAAAAAGAGGCCATGGACTGCAGAGCTGATTAGTGTAAAGGAGTGAGATGAAAGGCTATTTTAAACTGACTGTTCTCAAACCGGGCGTGGTGGCACATGCCTGTAATCCCAGCACTCAGGAGGCTGAGGCAGGAGGATCACAGTGAGTTCAAGGCCAGCTTGGGCTACAGAGTGAGCTCAAGGCCAGCCTGAACTGCACAGTGAGACCCTGTCTCAAAAAAAAAAAGATAAATTGACTGTTTTCATTCTTGCTTCTGGAGAGGAACCATCAAGAAACTAGATTACCTGTCTGGCCAAGCAGGCTGATTGCTAGTCAAATTTCCTCATAACCAACACACAGTACAATTACACTGATTTTATCAGAAATCCTGGCATTATTGATAATTTAAGACAAAACATGAGTACAATCAATTACTCTATGAAAGAAAATTTATACTCTCAAATAGAGGTCAGCAAATTATCTGGCCCCATTTAGAGTAAGAGAGCCACAGAAGACTAGCTGAGCCCACTCTAATACCCACTCAACACTTTTGCTACAAAATCACACTGCTATTGGCCAGGAAACTTTTTCAGTAAAAGGTCAGACCATAAATAATTATCAGCTTTGTGTGCCGCACAATCTCTGTCCCTACTGCCCACCAGTTGGGTGAGCACCAGGAAGATATTGCTGCACCAAGAAAACAGCCAGAAGAAAATGTACATGAAAGGCAGCGGCTGTGTTCTAATAATACTTTATTTTCAAAATTAGGTAGAGGGCCAGATTTGGCCAACGAGTCACAGTTTGTTGATTATACTAGAGAAGTGTTAGATGTGGAAATGTTCTACAGCTGTGCTGTCTAAAAGAGTAGCCACTAGTCACAGGGGACTAATGGTAAAAATTCTTGGAACATAGTTAATGTGACTAAGGTACGACATTTTTTAAATGTCGTTCAGTTTTAATTAACTTAAATATAAATAGCCACACAAGGCTAGTGGCTACAGTATTCCACAGCACAGTTCTTTACACTATTCAGTTTTGCCTCCTCAAAGGAGACACAAAAGCCATCCTCCAAGTAACGGCAAAGATTAAATTTTTGCTGTAATAAAGAAAATGCCCATGCCTTAACATTCACAACAGAGCTACACACACCTGGAAACAGTATTTCTTCATTATGAAACAGCTACATCATTGAGGCCAAAGTGGTAATTTTGGTTTGAAGCAGAGTAGCAGCTACCTATTAGCTGCTGCTCAAGTGTACAGGGAGTGAATCAGGCCCAATATCTTTCCAATCCAAAACCTGGTTCCTTTTCCCTCTGGACACTGCTCAGCACCTTCACTGAGAGTACAGACCTATACTAACCACTAAGGCAAATCCAAACCTCTCTGCAGGCCCTGAAGTATTTACGTGTACAGATGTGGTTAAGAGAGTTCAAGAGAGAACATCCATGTCAATCAAACTGCCTTCTCCAAAAGTCCTCCACACAACACACTACCTCAGCACAAAAATCAGGGACACACAGCACATTCGCTGCTAGATTTACCGCTGCTTCCGACAACTATTTTATTTATGCAACAACTTGCTTGTGTTTTGCATTTCTTAGCGGACTCAGATGTAATTCAATTAGGAAAAGCAAGATAATAGGATAATAACATATTTTTTGTTCTTCTAAGAATGAATAAGAAATAACAAGACAGTATTTTCTTACAGGAATTCATACAATATTAACTCACTTCAATGAGTAAAGGAATCTTAAAAACTGAAGATAGTACCCCCAAACTATTAGAACTATGAATGCCAGCACACAGACCTCTACAGAGGATTCACAGCGAAGTTAGGTTACGTATTGTCCATTCAAATTATTTTACTATTTCGGACAAAATGAAATCATTCCAGATCCAATCCTTATCTGTGATTTTCAAATCCAAAAAGCCCTAAAACATGGGGAACAGTTACCAAGTGTGAGTCAAATTCCTTTGGTGGCACATCTGATAGGAAGCAAATTAGATAGTTTTGTTTTTTTAGACTCATTAGTGGGGTAATATTTTCCTGCAGACATGTTCATGTTTTTACCTATGGGGTATGGCTGTAACCCCACCAGAAGTGTTGTAAAAGCTGTGACATATGCAAATAATCCCATCTTTCCAAAATCCCAAAACTCTAAATTCCAAAACACAGCTGGCCCCAGAAACGTTGATAAGAGGTCTTCTGAAGAAAGCAGCTTAGGTAGAACATTTTCCATCAATGCAACGTCTCTGCTGTCCAAAATCTTGGGACAGTACCTTACCTCCGTCTGAAGGATGGCAGCCCTCTGTTCTTTGGCAGTAAGCGACTCTTTAAGCACTTCAATGTGTTGCTTGCAATCAGAATTTTGATTGCTGAGAGTTTCAAGCTTTGTTTGTAAGGCAAGAAGTTCTGACTCCTTCTTTGAAAGTTCCTGCTTCAGTTGATCAATCTGTGAAACAATAAAATTTCCAAAAATAAGAAACCACTGTTGATTTCAGTCATTGTTCAATAGCCAGTGAGCATAAATTCAATAGAACAAGGCATCTGGCAAGCACAAGGCCCTGAGTTCGATTCCCAGTACCAAAAAAAAACAAACAAACAAAAAATAGAACAAGCCACGAGCTTGGTTAAAGAGATGGCCTTGGAAATCTCAGTGTTAGCGGAGTGGAGGAGGCCCTATGGGAACAGTAACATCAGTAGATTGCCTTCTATCTCACTGAGGCCCCAAGTTCACAATGAAATGAGTACCTCCTGATCAACTCTATTTGTCCAGGCGCCTTCAATTTTAATACAACCACAATCCTCAGGAGGGTGAACAGGGAGCTAACAAAGGTAATTAACCAGGATATCACTCCTCAGTAAAGATGATCAATCAAGGGAATCCTTTGACTAACAAAATCCTCAAAAAGTTGGATGTTTCTGTTTTGCTTCTATTAAATGTTGAAGAGACACAGAAGAACATAAAATACACGTGAGGTATAAGGAAAAGGAGTACAACAAACATTCATAATTCAATTCACCAAAAAAGAGAAAAAACTCCAAACAAAAAATCCAAATTACCCACTTCCCACCCTATTTGTATCCCCTATTCTCTATTTAGAAATAATTATTTGCTTGAATTTTAGGCTTGTCATTTCCTCTCTTGTGTTTTAGGTTTTACATCTCTATTTCTATATCCATAAGTAATATACTATTTGGCTTTGCATGTTTTTAAGCAATTCTAGTTAAAGTATATCCACTTATATCCATGTACATGGAATTCATTTCAGTGAAGTACCGTATTCCATTGTAAGATGTCACCACAATTTTTTGTACATTTTGCTATTGATAGATATCTACTTTTGGTCCTGGGTTTGGAGGTTTCCTTTTCTATTAGCACTATTATAAATATTCTTATACACACCACCTAGTACACCTAGCAATCTTTTTCTTGAAACTCGATCTAGGAGTTAAGTTGCTAGATCACACAGTAGGCACATCTTAATCTAATTTCATTAGATAAAGCCAAATGTTTTCCAAAGCAGTAAAATAAATTTGGATGACCACAAGCATCTTGTAAGCATGTCAGTCACTCCACACGTCTATCAATATCTTATGTCATCAGTCCCTTACACTTTTTTCCAATCGGAGATGAGTTGTAACAGATAACCTTGGAGACAACTCCCACCAAGTCCTTCCTACTTGGGCGCATACATCCCTACTCACAACTAGAGGCGGAGTACATTTACTCTCTCCTGAACTTGTGCTGGATTGTAAACTGCTTCAACCAACTGAACACAGCAAAAGTATCCCACAGCTCTTCGTGCCCTAGTCCATAGGAAGACCAGCAGGTTCAGCTCCACCTCACTGCCAGCGAGTCTACGTTACAAGTCCAACCACCGTGGATACCACGCTGTGAGGAAGCCCTTCCTAGCCACGTGCAAAGGCCGTGCAGAAGCACACACAGACCTGGTGATAATGGCGGCACCTTTGTCTTCTATGAAGCCTTGAAAAGAATTTCAATGCTTGATCATTCCATTTGATGTTTGTTTTGGCTTTTTACTCACATGCAGAAAGGCAGTTTTGTTTTATTTCCCTAACTAATATAGTAACTAGATCTTTACAGCCACTCTTTTAGCATTCAGAAAGTTTTCATTTTTACAAACATACACGAGATTTTTAATAATTAATGAATGTTTAATATAAAGAAGTTGTCTACTTCTTTTAATTTATGATATTTTCACCTTTAAAGTATTATTGCAATGAATTACATTGATGGAATTTTAAAATACTAATCTAACTTGCATTACTAAGAAAACCTTACTATCCCTAATATATTTTTATATGTTACTAGGTTCAGCTTGCTAATATTTTGTTAGGATCCTTCATTATGTTCATAGTAAGATTGGTTTGTCATTTTCCTAACTTGCATTCCCCGCGTTAAGCTTTACTATTGACTTAATCATTGTTCCTTGTTTTAATGTGTTCTGAAAGGGTTTGTGTAAAATTGGAATTCTTTCCATTAATGTTCCTTAGAAATTACCAGCAAAACTATCTAGAGCTGGTATTTTCTTTTTCCAAGAACAGGACTTACTACATCCATTTTTTAATGGTCATAGAAATATTCATGTTTCTAATTATTAGGTTCAATTTTTAATAAATTTTCTTCTCTAAAAATTTTTTATTACATATATGTTTTCACACTTAATTGCAGGAAATTTACATAAAGCCCATTTATCTTTTATATCAGTGGCATCTGTGGTTACACCTTCTTTTTCATTCCTAACATTATGTATTTTAACCTCTTTTTCTTCATGAATCCAAGTAAGGCACGTCATGTTGAATAAGCTAATCAAAGAGCCTATTTTGGCTGTGTTTCTCATGCAGTTTACATTTTATATTTCATTTATTTCTGCTTTTATTTTTAAATTATTTCCTTCCTTCTCCTTTCTTTGGGTTTATTTTATATTCTTTCCCTAACTTTGTAAATTGGATGCTTATCTCACTAATTTTCAGCCTTTCTTATTTTCTATATATGACTTAAGGCTATTAATTTTCCTGTCAGTACCATTTTACCATAGTCCCACTAATTCCATTTGGAGTATGAACTTATTATTCAGTTGTAAATATATATATATTTTTGTTTGTTTGTTTGTTTGTTTGTTTGTTTGTTTGTTTTTCCGGTACTGGGAATCGAACTCACGACCTTGCACTTGCCAGGCAGGCACTGTGCCGCTGAGCTAAACCCCCAGCCCCAGTTGTAAATATTTTCTAATCTCCATGTTATGATTTAGACTGGGAAAGTCCCCCAAAGCCTTATGGGCTTAAAGGCAGTGCTTTTGGAAGGTGAGTGGACCATGAGGTCTCTATACTCATCAGTGGATTTATTCACAAAGGGGTTGACAGCTGACTTACTGTTAGGTGGTGGGACCTAGCTAGAGGCAGGCCACCCAGGGCACGGCCTAGGACAGTGTATCTCCCTCCGCGCTCTCCCTTCTCCCGATTCTCTCTGGCCACCTTGACCCAAGCTCCTTCCAGACCCTTCCATCATCATTTCTCCCTTGGAGCCAGCTGACCAGGACTGCAACTTTGAGCCAAAATAAACCTCTCCACTGAGTTGTGGGCGGCAGGTATTGTGTCTCAGCTTTGAAGAAAGTGGCTGTGATACTGTTATTATTTCTTCTATACTCATGAATAATTTACAGTATTATTTCTTAATTTCCAAACATATGGATATTTTCACATTTGTGTGTTTTTCATTTCCTATTTGCTTTATAAAGAACACTATCTGATAATAACCATTTAAAACTTGGCGTGTTTTGTTTTATGACACAGTATATGGACATTTATTAAAATGAACTTTGTGTGTTTGAAAAGAAGATTCATCCAACAGCCCTTGGATGCAATATTTTATAATGTGCACAGCATCATATAACACTTTAAATTTGGTAGTTTAAATCTACTTCATCTGTTGATTGCTTAGAGCAGTGATGGCGAACCTTTTAGAGATTTCAATGATAAGAAACAGCCTTCTTCAGCACACATGCCCTTGGTTCACCACCACTGGCTTAGAGGATGAATTACAACAATCTGCTATGTGACGTAATAGTCAATTTCTCTTTCTGGTTCTGTCAATATTTTTAGTTCTAAAAATTGTTTCTTTAAAATCTACAACAACTTCCTTATGATTAATATTTTGCTAGTATATCACTTTACTTTTATCATATCTTTAACTCTGTTGTAGATGTCTCCTGTAAACAGAATATATGCACATTCTTTTACTCCATCTGATAAAGTGAAACATCTACTACATATATATGATTTTAATTCAGCAATCTCACCTTATGCTTTCTACATACACTATTATTTCTTTCTTTTTGTTCTGCGTTGCTTTGAATGACTTTTTTTTCACTCTAATCTTTGTTAATCATTTAAAAGTTACACTTTCAAAGATTATTTTTAAATTTTGTTTAGTTCTAATTTTTAGACTGTTACTCTAGAAAATGTAACATTTACTTTTTAACTTTTAAAATGGAAAGTCAATATATTATATTTATCTTTTTTCTAAATAACATCAGGATCTTGAGACAACTTGAATCCAGAAATCACCTTCTTGACATGTTACTACTATCATGTATTTTATTTCTTTCCTATTTTGTTATTTTAACTCATTATTACTTTGGTACATTCCATGTTTGTTTATGTTTTACTATATATTTATCACTACCTTTGTTTATTATCCTTGCAATTCAGTACACTGAGATTTTCCTTTTCCCTGAAATGCATCAATTGTATGTCTAACAAGGGATTAATATCCAAAATACATAAAGAACTCAAACAACTCTATACCAATAGTAACAATAATAAAAACAAAAACCTTATTTTTTAAATGGGGTAACTAAATGAACATTTCTCAAAAAACACCAAATGCCTCCAATGGCAAAAGGTATAAAAAAGATTCAACATAATTAATCATTGGAGAAATGGAAATCAAAGCCACAATGTGATATCACTCTACTTCAGTTAGAATGGTTATGATGAAAATGATAAAAAGAATTTGCTGGCAAAAATAAGGAGAAAGGGAACCTTGCACAAAGCTGGTGGGAATTTCAATTTGAGTGGCCATTATCAAAAACAGTATGAACATTCCTCAAAAAACCGAAAAAGAGAACTACCTTATAATCTAGCAATCCCACTACTTGGTCAATATCCAAAGGAAATGAAATGATTATCTGGAAAAGATATGTGCTACCCCATGTTTACTGCAACACTATTCACAACTGCCAAGAAATGGAAACAATCTGAGTTGTTGGATGAACAAATTCTTAAAATGTAAAAAATATGCACAACAGAATACTATGCAGCTACAAAAACAATAAAACCCTGTCATTTGATACAACATGGATGGAACTGGAGATAATTATATTATATGAAATGAGCCAGGCACAGAAATACTAATACCTTATCCTG